TTCCCTCACAATATTTGCTACAAATTTTAAAAATGTGTCGCGTTAAATTGCTTATTGCAATAGCTTTTTGTATGTCGCAAAATATCTTGTTGCGAAATAACAATTTTGTTGTAGTGGATTCAGACTAACGTGGAATCGGAGAAGGAAATAATAACTTTGTTGAGGGTGGGTTGAGAATCTGGTGAATCTAACATCAAATTTCGGTGTTGGAGAAAAAAATTGGGGATTGCAACTGTAGCAGCTTGGTGATGGAGGGAATACTTAATAGGTGACGATCATCATACCGATCGGTTTGAAGGGAGTGCCAATCTAGAAGGGAGTCGTCGAATTTCATTCTTCTCTTGTTCTATTCCGCTTTCTGCTTTGAAAATAGATGGAGAAATTGTTCCACTATGGTTCCATTCCCTTTTCTCCTTTACAAATAGAGAGAGATTTTTTTTTTTTTAGTTTTTAACGCCTGATTCTTGTAAAAATTTGTTAATCACCTTATTTTTTATAATCAAATCTTAAACTCTTGGTTTTAGGTAATTTTCCCTTCTTTTATAATTGATTAATGGATTCCACTTGAATTCATATCATTTATTATTATTATTATTGTCGTCGTCGTCATCATCATCATGGCAGAATATATTTTCAAACATATACTCAAGGTGGACCCAAGGGGGTCACGTGACCCCGACAACTTTTGTTTTATATATATATATATATATATATATATATATTGAATAAATCATGTTTGGTATCGATTAAAATCTAAGTTTTAATTTAAATCAAAATTAATAATTAATTTTAATAACATATTTAACGGAATCCTTAACTTTTTAACTTTTATCAAAATTTACTAAAAATCTGATTTTAGCCACCTTCAAATAGGGGCAAAATCACAATAAATTTAATATTTTTCACTTACTCTTTCCCTCATACTTTTTATCAAAACCTTGACCCTTCTAATTTTTTAAAATTTATTTATAATTTTTCTACAAATTAGCACATTTGCTACAAATTTTTAATTAATTAGAACCTACATTTACATTTTCTCCTACCCTATTTGTGTATAGAATGTATCTGAACTAATTATACTCAATTTAACTTATATTTAATAAATTGTATTTATTTTATCGAATATTGGTTACATGTTTTTCCTTTTGATCACCTGAACCGACTATTCGAAATCAAACATATGAAAACGAAGAGCAAAATATTAACGAAGAAACTTTTTTAAATGTAAATTTGCATTTCTCGGATAAGCACAAATTATTCAAAAATCAATA